ATATATATATATATATACACACACACACACACACATACACACACACACACACACACACTTTCATTCCTTATCCCTCCCACAGGGTTCAAAAGAGGTGGTACCAAAGCCCCCAAAGTCACAATGCTCCAAAATGGAAGATAACCATAAATTGTAAGGAGTGGGACCCTACAGATAGAATTATGCCTGCTAAGAAAGAGAAGGGGAAACAAGGAAGCTCTGCTGCATACAGCGCTATGGATATGCTTGCTTGATTAAACCCAATAAACACTGCATTGCCTGCACTTTGGACAATGGTTTTCTGTTTGTGTGTGACAAGAATCAGGGAAAAGCCCAAACACCAGCCCCTGACACATCATTTGCCCACTGCTTCTCTGAAAACAGTCTGCATGCTGCTCTCTTCCATATCACACCTTAACTTGCCCTTCCTGTGATGGACCACAAGTCTAGTACCTTCTCCACATTCAAATCCTTCCTGAAGGGCCAATTCTATGACAGCATCCGTATGTTATATTATCAAAGTATTATCAAAACATGGCCAATAAAACTCCTTCTGCAGTCTGTCATTTTGTCTAGCAGATTGCAATCTCTTTGGACAGAGACTTCACCTTCTTTTATGGTCGTACAGGACCGAGGGCACCACCAGAAACAAATAATAGTAAAAGCAGTAATAGAGTGTTTGTGCCAAAGATAACAGAAGGCAGGACACAGTGAAACTACGAGTTCACATGCATACATAATTGAGGGAGTCGAGTACTTACAGTGTGTCCATTCTGAATGAGATTTCCTGCCACTAAATAGGTGACATGCAGCTGAGCTCCTGAATTTTCCTTTCGCTTCCTTTCTACATAGTCATACAGCATCCTATACAACAAAGAAACCAATGTTAACCACCTGGAATGGAAAGACCCCTTCACCTACCCCTTCATCTACCACTTCACAGCAATTTGTGTGACAATAATAGTAAAATGTTCTCAATTCACTAAATATGTTTATTTTTTCTAAAGAGCTCTGTGTAGCTCAAAAATTTGTCTCACCAACAGAAGAAGTTGGTCTAATACAATAAAAAACTTTACCTCACCCCCTTTGACTCTCTAAGGGTATGTCTGCACTACAGAGTTATTTCTAAATATCTTATTTCAAAATAGTTAATTTGAAATAAGTTATTTCGGAATAACACGTCTACACGCAAAATGCATTTCGAAATAGCGTATTGCCATTTCGAAATAGCGCATCCACATTGAGTGGACTATGAATCGCATTTAAGGATGGCCGGAATCAGGTCCGGCAGGGCATTAGGTCCGGAGTTACTTTGTGTGGCTGCTGCCTGAGGCTATCCGAGGCCTGTGCTTAAAAGGATCCCCCCTACCCCCCGACAGCCAGTTCTCAAGTTTCCCTGCTTGCTTGCCTTCCTCAATGAGGAACAGCAAAGCATTTTGTCTCTGCATACTCTGGTTGCCCTCACTCGGGACACCACAGCACTCTGCAACATGGAGCCAGAGCTGTCCCTGGGCACTCTGGTGCTTCTCATGGATGCATTGCTTCGAGCCTGGCTGCACTTTCTGCAGGCTGCCATCTGGGAGGTCCATCAAGGGGCTATCAGTATCCAGGAGGCCCTGCGGGAGAGCTTCCACCCTGAGGCGCACTAAGAGCCTCCCTGGTCTGCCGCACTGGGGGCTTGTGCCTCATTTCTCCCTCACGTCCTTCCACTTACCCCTCCCTAACCACCCTTCCTGATGTCAAATAAAATACACATATTTTCATGAACACAAACTCTCTTTATTCAACAAAACTGGGGGGGGGATGAAGCTCTGGTGAGACTGGGGAAAGGAAGCAGGAGAGGGGAGAAGAGAGGGTGGGAGAGGGAAGGGGGAAACCTGGGAGGAGGGAGCTGGAAGGGGGAAGCAAGGAGAAGAACGGGAAGGGGAAGCTCAGGGCTGGGGGTCTCACCGGACCAACTTGATTTTCATGCGAACCTGCTCCTGGGTTTGCATGTGACCTTTGGTGGCCAGGCTGGTAGATATCCTGCCATAGACGGCCACGTTCCTCCCTCTAGTGCGGAGATCATGGACGTTTGGGGCATCCCCCCCAAACCTGAATAAGGTCCATGATCACCACCCTGGACCAGAAAGGCACCTGCTTTTTCCGGATCCTGGCAGGCTCCTGGGAGCTGACAGACTGCTCCTGGGAAGCGGTGGAGGGCTGGCGGCCAGTGGCTTGCTGGCTCATGTTTTGGGGCCACTGGGTCGGGGCAGTGACTGTTGGCTCTGGGCTGGCAGGTTTGGAGCTGGCACAGGCACCGTGGCCAGAGTCAACCCCTTTAAGGGCTCCAGGGAGGGAGAGGAGTGTTCTTGGTTGAGGCTGGAGTGGCCACCAGGACACCCTGGGAAGGCTGGAGGCCCCCTATTTCAAAATAAGTGTCTACGCAGCACTTATTTCGAAATAGCTATTTCAAATTTGGCGTTATTCCTCGTGGAATGAGGTTTACCAAATTCGAAATAAGTGCTCCGCTATTTCAAAATAGCGGTTTGGCTGTGTAAACATACCCTAATATCCTTGGACTGACATGGCTACCATGCTCCATTGTTCTAATCTGACGTTTATACCATGCTTACAATTAGAATACAAGGGCTACATTCACAAAAATACACACACTGAACTACCAGTTCCTATTTTGTTTGTCCTCATCTCACATCTCAAAAATGGGTTTAGACAAATTTGCGTATGTGCACCACGTGTATACCGCAATTCATTGTATTAATGGGATACTTGTATGGACTCCATCACTTTGGTATCCATACTATAGTACTGAAATATCTCCCAGTTATGTTTTATCTAACTAGTGCCTCTTCACCTGAATCTTCCTTCCTCATCCCAAGGAGAACTTTTTCATTCACTCTAAAATGTAGTCCAGCTCTCAGAACCCAGACCAGCTAAATACACTAACAGGGTCCTCCATCCACCCTCAAGACCCTTTTCATCCCAGATTAGGAGAGGGTCTCTCTGTCATTTCTTGGCCCTCTCCCTCCACAGTTGGAAGCAGAAACCTGGACCCTCACTGGCTCCTTGCAGCCTAGCTTTAGAAGTTGATGTACAATTCATTTCCCAACAAACTTCCTACAGAAATCATTTGGCTTCTGTAAGAACTGAACCAATTATTGTAATGGGCAATTATGTATTTCAAGGAATGGAAATTACTTTCATCTTTTCACAGTCCTAAAAAATGAAATGCAAAGAGCTATGTTACTACAATATTAAGGATGCAAACTTACATTATAAAAATTTACAACCAAAAGGTTCTGATAGCAAAGTTAACATGTTAATGTTGCAAATATATAGCTTTGATTATTATGGAGGCTGTTAAGAGTAAACATATAGTGAAGTGTGCATTTAACCCCTTGGCCAGTCATTGCAAATATGTATTTGTAATATGGGTCAGTTATAATTGTTGTCAGTAGCTTTCTTTATTCCTATCTATAATACAGAGGATCAACAATCCTGAGATTAGTTATGTCTCTTGCATCTGCATGTGTAAAGTGTTTTGAGATCTTTCCAGCAAAAGAGGCTCTTTCTAAAGCAAGACTTGCTTAAGTGAAGCACGAATAAAGTGTGCTGAATACACAGGACTTTATATCTTTCTATAAAAGATTCGATTTAATTTTGTAATCAAAGCCACCAACTAATTAGGCACCACACTCTGAAAACCTCTACCATGTATATTGGCCAAACCGGACAGATTTTGCAATAGATAAATAGATACAAATCAAACACCAAGAATGCTATCTATCTATCTAAAATGTTTTATGTAGGGGAACATTTTAACCTCCCTGTACATTCAATCATGGATTTAAAAGTATCCATTCTTCAACAAAGGAATTATACCACTCGATTACAGAGGGAGACTGCTGAATTGGAATTCATTTACAAAGTCAACACTATCAACTCGGGCTTGAATAAAGATATTAACTGGATAACAAAGGCAATTTCCCCACTTTTGATATTTGCATTTACACATCAAAAGCTATGAATGGGACACATCCAGCCTGATTCAACTGGAGCCATTATTACTGGTCCTACAATTGACAGGTAACTGCTTTTTCTGTTATATATGCTCTGGATTCTGTAATTTCCACTCCAACTCATCTGATAAAATTGTTTTACCCACGAAAGCTCATGATATATTTGTTAGTCTCTATGGTGCCACAGGACTGTTTGTTGTTTTTACAAATACTCACTGTTTAGCCTGGTTGACATGAACTCCCAGAGTAAAGCTCAGCCATTTGTACGTCACCTGCAACAGAAAGAAATAATTGCTCAGGTCACAGATTCTCGATCTGAGTTCATGACACAAAAAAGCCCATCCAGCTTTTGAGGAGACTAAGAAATGGAGAAGAAGCAATTTGCCTAAGTGTGTTGTACCATGCTGAACTCACTATTAATACTTAACAACTATTTGGTACGTTACCTCTACCTAAGAGAGGCATATTTGTGAATGCTGGTTTGAAAGTGGACAAATAGCTCTGATAAATGCAATGACTTTCAGAAATCAACATATGACATTATCGAGTTGAAGTTTCCAAAGGAGAGACTAAAACAAGCTCCAACATATAACTGTGAAAAGTGGCTGCTGTTCACGCAACATTATCATTAAGGACATGTCAAGGGTGTGGTGGAGTCACCATAACTGGCACTTTAAATCAAGACTGGATGTTGAAAACAAAAAATATAAGCTTTAGTTCTAACAGGAATAATTGGAGGAGGGGGGGGGGGCATTCTAGGGCCTGAGTTATACATGAGATCAGATTGGATCACAATTGTCTTCTCTCACCTTGGGCTCTGTGTCAAAGATTGCCATGGCAATTTTTGGAGACAATCCAGTGGAGGGCAACCAAAATAATTAGGGGGCTGGAGCATATGACCTATGAGGAGAGGCTGAGGGATTTGGGCTTATTTAGTCTGCAGAGGAGAAAAGTGAGGAGGGATTTGACAGCAGCCTTCAACTCCCTGAAGGGGTGGGGGGGGGAGTTCCAAAGAGGATGGAGAGAGGCTGTTCCCAGTAGTGAATGGGATGGCAGAACAAGGAGCAATGGTCTCAAGTTATAGTGGGAGAGGTCTAGGTTGTATATTAGGGAAAACTGTTTCATTAGGAGGATGGTGAAGCACTGGAATGGGTTACCAAGGGAGGTGGTGGAATCTCCATCCCTAGAGGTTTTTAAGTCCTGGCTTGACAAAGCCCTGGCTGGGATGATTTAGTTGGGGTTTGTCCTGCTTTAGGCAGGGGGCTGGACTCGATGTCCTCCTGAGGTCTCCTCCAGCCCTGGGATTCTATGGCTCTCTTTGCGTCTCACAGGGCACATGGCAAACTCCAATTATGTTACAGGTGCTGCAGCATAGTCTGGCAACTTCTTGGGTTCTGTTCCTATCCCTGCCACTGAACTGTTAGGTGTGGATTTCCCCTCCCACCCTGACTAGTCAGACTAATGTACACAGGGCAAAGCCAGTCACTTAGTGTTGATGTACATCTCTTTTTATATAGGTTTAATGTAATTTAACAGTTTAGAAGCTTAAGTTTACCTAAATAAGCCATATGTTATGTAATCCCCTTCATATGGGTATAACTGCACCAGTTTCAATACATACATTTCTAATTCGTATGTGCAGACAAACCCTTACTGTGTTTCTCTATAGTGCCTACAATAACAGGGCTTAAGTATTTCCGTAATACAATCGGTCCATCCATGGCTATTACTAGGAGCTGTGCACACATGCAGCCACTCAGGAGAAATTCTGCTCCTCCTCATCGCCTGCCCCAGCCCAGCACCGCACCCAACAACTCCCTGCCCATCACCACCGCAGCCCCAGCCCCCAGTCACCACCCCCCAATT